CGGGCCCCACCCACAGTGACGTCACCCACACCCGCACCCGAGCTGCCATGTGTCCCATGCCGACGTCACGTGTGTCCTGGTGGGCGGGGTCCGGGGGCGGGGGGGGGGGGGGGGAGCCTGTCAGGGGACAGATGTCAATCACTAGTGCATGCCACGCCCACCGCGCACGCACGGTGACGTCAGCACGCGCCGCCGAGCAAAAGAAAAAAAACTGCAAACAAGATGGCGGTCGGGGCGGTGAGCGGGGCCCGGCTGTCAATCACCAGTGAAGGCCACGCCCACCTATTTCGCCGGTGACGTCAGCGCGCAGCGAGGCAAAGAAAAAACTACAAAACAAAATGGCGGAGTAGGGGGCGTGGTCAGCATGTCAATCACGCCTAGAGACCACGCCCACCGCTCCTGCCGGTGACGTCAGCGCGCGGCGGGGCCGGGTGAGAAAAAAAAAGACAGAAAACAACAAAATGGCGGGCGGGGGCGGGGCCCGGCTGTCCATCACCTGCGGAGGCCCCGCCCACCCTTGACGTCATCGCGCGACGAGGGATGAAAAACAAAAACACCACAAACAACATGGCGGGCGCGCGTCGCGGGCGGCGCCTGCCAATCACTCGGCCGGGCCCCGCCCCTGCTGACGTCACCGCGCGCCGGCGCAGGGCGGAGGAGGAAAAACAAGAGGGCGGGGCCCGGGTCCGCGCCTGTCAATAACTCGCGGAGGCCACGCCCACCCCAGCGGGAGGGTGACGTCAGCCCGCGGCCCGGCGTAAACAAAGCGCGGGGCGGAGCTGCCGGGGGTCTCGGGCTGCGCCCATCAATCACTCGGTCCCCGCCCCGCTGACGTCACTTCCGGTCTAGTTGAAGAAAAAAACAAAACGAAATGGTGGGCGGGTCCGGCGTGGGTCCGAGGGGCTCCGCCCGTCAATCACTCGGTCGGGCCACGCCCACTCTACTAGGTTACGTCACTCGGCCGGGCCCCGCCCCTGGTGACGTATGCAAATGATTTAAAATGGAGCCCTGTCGCGTTCATTCGCAAACCTGAGCTTGTGCCACGGTCCATTAGCATATAATTTGCATATGCATCAGGACCAGGGCTCTGCAGAGACTCAGCAGCGGGCTATGAATATGCAAATGACCCCATTAGCATACTCGGCGGTCAGGGGTGGAGCTCCACGGCGCTCATTTGCATAACAGAGTCTCCGGGGTTCATTAGCATAAAATATGCATAACCGAAGCCCCACAGAGGGTCAAGCGAGGGCCATTAGCATAAAATTTGCATATTTTCCGGCCCAGAGCACCAAGGAGACTCAGGCGTGGGATTTGAATACGCAAATGAGCTCATTAGCATACGCAAAACGGACTCAGTGCCACGCCGGACGGACCCGGGGTCCCAGCGCCTTTTATTATTGACGGGCGGGGCGAGGGGCGTGGCGAGGGGCGGGGCGGGGGGCGGGGTCCGGAGATCCACAGCCGCCAGGTCAGTTCCTGTCCCGGGTGCGGGGGGAGGTCCCGGGTTCCCGGTGACTTCATCGTCGCCATCGCTGTCCGTCATCACACGGGGGCGGAGGCGGAGCCTGCGACGGAAGGGGCGGGGCCGAGGCGTTGACGTCATCGCCGGGGTCGGGAAGCCCCGCCCCGGGCCCCGCCCATCTCTCCAAACCGGAAGTTGACGCCTCCAGGACAGGAAGTGGCCCCCAGGCCCCGCCCCCTGACGTCACCGCCCCAGTGGGAACCTGGAAGTCGCCACCCCAAAGCCGGAAGTGGCTCCCATGAGAGGAAGTGGCTCCCCTGTGTGACCGGAAGGGGCCTCCGGGCCCCGCCCCATGACGTCGCCAGCCCAGCAGACACCGGAAATCCCGCCCCCGGACCGGAAGTAGCCCCCCCCAGCCCTGACCGGAAGTGACCCGGGGGGGGGGACGGCCCGTCACTCACCGCCGCGGCTTCCGCCCAGGCACCCGCGGGACCGGAAGTAGGCGGCGCCCGCGCCCAGCAGCGCCACGACGGCCACGGAGACGATGGGGGAGACGATGCGGGCGACGGCGCCGCCTGGGGGGGGGCGGGGTGCTGGGTGCTGGGTGCTGGGTGCTCGGTGCTGGGTGCTGGGTGCTC